CCAACTTCCATGTTTACAAAACAAAAACAAACCATTATTTTTTATGGTCTTCAGAAAAAAGAAAGAATAGTTTTGTTGGGTTTTTTTGTATTTACTGCCTACCTGCCCAGAATGATACAAACCAATTTTCACAGTTTTTATGCAGGATAATGCACTGGACTGCATGGTCTGTTTGAACCACAAGGTCGGTGGTACAAACTCCACAGCCAATCCTCAGAAACCCTACACAAGGTTGCTATGAGTCAGAAACAACTCAATAGCACTTAACAACAGTCTTATAAAAGAGTTGAAAAATACTGTGATTGTGTTACTGAGAAGGTGTGTTAGAAGTTTTTTATCAAGGAAATGGCTTCCAGTTATAGAGTCCCAGGTCCCCCATGGAAGAGAGAGGGGGAGCCTTTCTATAGTGTCCATTATATTGGGAACAATCCATACCCCAAGGAAACATCCCTCCAAATGATTGGCTGCTCATAGTCACTCACCTTAGAGCTAACTATGCCTTTATTAGGTTTCATCACCATGGGACTAAGCACATCCCAACTGATAAGCCTCTGGAAATCCTGGCCTAGTCAAGTTGACACAAAACCTTAATCATTACAGAAGGCTATGTGGAGATTTCCTTAGTTTAGTTGGATATCTGAATATCTAAAAAATTCAGATATGTGATTAGCTATTATTGTTGTTATTAAGTGCCCTTGAGTTAGTTCCAACTCACAGAGACCTTGTGTAGGGGTTTCCAAGGAGCAGCTTGGTGGGTTTGAACCACCAACCTTGCAGTTACAAATCTAGCACTTATCCTAAAGCACCATACCAAGAATCCAGGTTGGTTGGTTAGTGGGGTGCCATGAAGTTGGTTCTGATTCAGAGCGACCCTGTACAGGGTTTCTGAGGCTGTAAATATTTACAGGAGCAGAAAACCTCATTTTTCTCCCATGGAACAGCTGGTAGTTTCGAACTGACCTTGAGGTTAGCATGCCAATTCATAACCACTAACTCTGGTTGTGGCTTATCCTACAAGTACCACAAGATTCCTCATATCTTTTGTATTGAGCCCTGGTGTGGCTTTGTGGGCTAATGCGCTGGACTGCAAAGTCGCTTTGAACCACAAGGACAGCAATACAGGGTCACCATGGGTCGGAATCAGCTCGAAGGCACTTAACAACAACAGCATTGTTGTATTATTGTTGTTATGTGCCATTGAGTCAGTTCTGACTCATAGTAACACTAAATAGGGTTTCAGAGGAGAGGCTGGTGGGTTTGAACTGCCAACCTTGTGGTTCTCAGTCCAGTGCTTATCCTATAATTCCACACCGGGAATCCAATATCTATTAGTCCCATCTAAATATCTATGAGTCTCTTCTTCTTGAAGTAAATTAGATGTGACCACCAAAATATTAGAGGGTGTTTTTTAATGTCCCATAGAATTTTCAAGGTCTCTGGTTCTCTCATTAGCCTTATTTGAACATGTTGTTGGTGTTAAGTACCGTCGAGTCAGTTTCGACCCATAGCGATCCTGAACAGGGTTTCCGAGGCTGTAAATCTTTATGGGAGCAGATCGCCTCATCTTTCTCCTGCGGAGCAGCTGGTAGTTTTGAACTGCTGACCTTGCGGTTCTCAGTCCGATTCGTAACCATAGAGATGTCTAAAATATGACTCTAATGATACCATCTATTTAAATATATTTCTCTCTCTCTCTTTTCTAAACTGCATGAAGGAAAATTTTTAAAGCCAGATACCATCTCACTTGTATCAACTCTTTTCATGTTTCTGTTACCTTCCAGGTCTTAGCAGTACACTCATATTTGTTGTTGTGTTGTTGTTGTGTTGTTGTTGGATGCCATCAGGTTGGTACTGACTCATAGTGACCTTATGCACAACAGAACAAAACACCACCTGGTCCTGCACCAACCTCATAGTCATTGCAACGCTTGAGCCCACATCTGCTGCCACTGTGCCAATCCATCTCTTTGGAGGTCTTCCTCTTTTTATCTGATCCTTCACTTTATCAAGTTTGATGTCCTTCTCCAGGGACTGGACCCTCCTAATATATTATATGTCCGAAATATGATAGGCAAAGTCTGGCTAGCCTGACTTCTAAGAACCATTCTGGCTGTACTTCTTATGACACAGATTTGTTTGTTGTTTTGGCAGTCCATGGTACCTTCAATATTCTCTTCCAACACCATAACTCAAATGAATCAATTCTTCTATTGTCTTCCTTTTTCACTGTCCAACTTTCACATTCATTCATATGAGGTTATTGAAAATTCCATGGCTTGGGTCAGGTGCACCTTAGTCCTCAAGCTGACATCTTTGTTCTTCAACACTTAAAAGAGGTCTTGTGCAGCATATTTGCCTAATGCAATATGTCATTTGATTTCTTCATTGCTGCCTCCATGAATGTTGATAGTTGATCAGAGCAAAATGAAGTCTTTGATAATTCAGTCGTTTCTCCATTTAGCATGATGGTATTTATTGGTTCAGTAGTGAGGATTTTTGTTTCTTTACATAGAGGTGCAACCCATACTGAAGGCTGTAGTCTGATCTTCATCACTAAGTATTTTAAGTCCTTTTTCTCTTTCAGAAAGTAAGTTTGTATCATCTGCATATCAAAGGGTGTTAATAAGTCTTCCTATAATCCTGGTGCCATGTTCTTTTTTATATGATCCAGATTCCCAGATTATTTGCTCAGCATACAGATTGAATAAGTATGGTAAAATAATACAATCCTGGTGCACACCTTTCCTAATCTTAAACCATTCATTGTTCTCTTATTCTGTTCTGTGTATAGGTTCCTGATGAGCACAATTAAGTGTTCTGGAATACTTACTTTCCACAGTGTTGTCCGTAATCTGTCATGATTCACACAATTGAAGGCCTTTATGTAGCCACTAAAGCACAAGTAAATATCTTTCTGGTAGTCTCTGCTTTCATCCAAGGTCCATTCTGACACCAGCAATGCCACATCTTCTTCTGAATCCAGCTTGAACCTCTAGCAGTTCTTTGTCAGTGTACTGTTGCAGCCATTTTTTCATTATTTTTAGCAAAGTTTTACTTGCATGCAATATTAATGATATTGTTTGATTATTTCCACATTCTATTGGATCACCTCTCTTTGGAATGAACAAAATTATAGATCTCTTCCAATCAGTTGGCCAGGTAGCTGTCTTCTAGATTTCTTGATATAGATTTAACATACTTCTGTTTCTTGAAATATTTTTATTTATATTCCATCAGTTCCTGGAGCCTTTTTCTTTCTTTGCCAGTGCCTTCAGTACACCTTGGACTTCTTTCTTCAGTATCATTAACTCTTGATCATATGTTACCTCTTGAAATGGTTGAACATCAATCATTTATTTTTGGTATAGTGACTCTGTATATTCCTTTCATCTTCTTTTTATGCATTCTGTGTCGTTCAATATTTTGCCCACAAAATCCTTCAATATTTCTAGTAGAGACCTGAATTTTCTTCTTCAGTTCTCTCAACTTGATTATATGTAGATGGTCTTATATTGTTGGTGTGTGTGTGGCCTAAGGTGTAGAGGGTGGAGTTAATCCCATTTCTCGGTTCATGATGTCATCCCTGGTCAGAGTTGAGGTGAGTTCCTTTTATTTATTCATAAATTCCCTTTCATGGTCACTTCCTACTAACTTTTTCTTCATCACATCCCATACCCTAATCTATTGTACTTAATGTATAGCTTTTTATTTGTATAGGGGTGTATGTCCATTACAAATATGTATTTTTTTTTTAAAGTTTGTACATTTTAATGGTACATAAATGATAGTGTTTTGCGTATCTTGTTCTGTCTCTCTTGATTTGAGGATGTTGCTGTTTGTACTTGAAATCTGTTATTTCTAATCACCATGTGGTGCCACAGAGTGTGTACCCACTGTCACACTGTGATGAACACTGTGTTGACACTGTGATCAACAGATGAAGCGTGTTACCTTATGGTACATGTAAAGTTTATACCTCTAGGGAAGATATACTGCTCTGAGTCAGATTGTTGGGTCATCCAGGGCTTATACTTAATTTACTGGCATAGCTATACCATTTCCTATATCTCATAATAATTCACATCTTTATCAACACTAAAATTATCCAGCTTTTTTTTTTTTTTGCCAGGCTAGTACATATAAAGTGGTACTTTGTTTCAATTTGCATTTTTCCCATCACATGTAAGTTGGAATCTCTTTTTATAGTTAATTCTGTTTTATATCCTTAAGGGTCACCAAGAGTTAGAATTGACTCAACAGTGGTAGGTGTGGGTTTGGGTTTTCTTGTCACTTAAGTTTGCACTCATTACAGTATATCTCTAGTGTTAAGAAATCTGAGTAACATGAGGTTAGGATAATATATCAAGCTGCATTTAACTGCAGCAGTTAGGTTGAATCATATGCAACTATCAATAATTAACTGGTTCTGACCTACAAAAACAGCAAAAAGCTATGATTCAATCCAATATGTTGTTGGATAGTTAGATAGTGTTGGATAGATGGTGTTTCTAGCTTTTCATTATTACAAATAATATTGCATTGACCATATGCTTTAACAAATAGCATTTTTCTTTATTTGAATTTTTCCGTAGGGTAAATTCCTAAGAGATCACTGAGTCAGAAAAAGAACATTTTAGGGGCTGTTGCTACATATTGCCAAGTATCTCTCTGAAAGGGCTGTGCTGATTTGCAGTGTGTTTCATTTATATCAAGACTACACTGGTTTTACTCTATTTACTATCATGTTAATAGCTAAATAATAACCTCATACTGGCTTTATTTTATTAGAGTTAGCATTAATCGTTTATTCATATGTTCGTTGTCTGATGGTATGCTTTCATGACTATGACCCATTTGTGCCCTTAATCTACTTTTTTATTAAGTGTTTTGTTTCTTTTTCTAAAAAATCAGTTTGAAAGTGGCTCTTGTATACTGTAAACTAACCCTGTCTTCAATTAATGAAAATGAATTTATTCATTTGTATACAATTTATTCTTCAGATGACAATCAGAACAAAATGCATGATAAAAAAGAAAAGAAGATGGTGGTTCAGAAGCCACATGGCACTGTGGAATACACTGTAAGTATGAACAGAGTGCTATGAACATTTGTTAACACTAATAGATTTGCATAGTGGTTTTCCATGACACATCCTGCCGCTCTCTGTTTGCATTCCTGTTGTGCACCTAGTAAAAATGAGGTCTGTGACCTGTAGTAGAAGTTTCTCTTCCCTCTGTACTTTCTTATTTGTTGGTGTATTTTTTCTTAAGGATGAATTCTTTATTGCAAATCTTGGTTTCAAGTTAATAGAATATTTCATGAAATAAACTTGTTCTTGGTAATCTTATGAGTTCACCATTGTAATTTTTGGGATTATAAAATTATCCAGAGTAAAATTATCCAATGTTAGTAAATTGCATGGCACTGTGGCAATGGGTTATTTATCCTCATAGCTCATTTTACACAGCACATAGATATACTAGAATTAAAAACTTTTTCAGGAAGAGAACAGAAAGAATCAAAGGAAAACCGTATAGCTTTTACAAATATTCATAATAGCAAAGCCAGCATAAAATATGGTTGTCTATAAAATGGAATGATTAGTAATCAAAACTTAATAAAGTACTTATAGATGCTGGAACATAAGTAAGCCTCAGAAACATGCTCGGTCCCATACACAAAAGGAAAATAGAGACAAGATAAGCAGTTGTCAGATAATTGGAGTAGGATGGGATATTCCTTTAGAGGTTGACATAAAAGAGAATTATCTAAAACTATTTCTGTATTTCAAAAATATCCCTCCAAAGAACGGAGAGTGGGACCCTACCCAGAGAAGCAGTGAGGCCTGAGATGGAGGCAGAGAAGACGATGTGAAGAGGTGGAGTGGCTGGGGACTTGAGATCCAGAGAGGGAAAGGGGTTGCATGCTGAGGACCGTGGGGGTGGGGAGGGGGGTTGGCAAGCTTGCAGGGTGATAATTCATGGACGGGATGGTAACTATGGTAATGAAACGATGTATGATAGAATGAATGTAAAACTAATGTTCTCCCACTTAAACTATCACACAATTCACAATAAAACATTT